AAGCTTTTTAAATATTTTGAAAACCTTGTTTACTTTACATACAACAATAGTTTAGTTATATAATATATAGACTTATAGAGAGAGACCTTCTAAAAAACGTTAAAATGTATTACCGGCACACGAAACCTTAAATTAAAGTAAATAAATGAAGACTCGGCACACCGCTTCTGAAAGGTTGCCGACCCCTGTGCTATGATATATATTCTGCTTCCTGTATTTTTCCACTCCATGCATCTGATGAAGTGGGTTTTAGCCCACGAAAGCTTATGCCCAAATAAATTTGTTAGTCTCTATGGTACCACAAGGACTCCTTGTTTTTTCGTGGTGAATAAGCAGCTTTTTCTCAGGAGGACTAATTAACATAAACAAACAGGCTGTGACTAAAACAGCTTGCAACTGTCCCACGACCCAGATGGCGCTGGAAAGAGAACATTTCCAGTTATATATTCACGAAAGTGTAATTATGTCTTTCTACTAATAAAGGTAATTATTCATTTCCCATGAATCCCATGCCTCCCACATGCTGTTCTGCTATTTCCTTTCTATGGCTGCCCTCTTGCCTTTCTGCAGCTGTTCTGAAGAAATAAAAGCAAGACATAAAAGTGCATGCTCCCAGTCAGCAAAAGGGCAAGTCTACAGAGACAGAATTTAAGTCTGTGCACCTTTCCAATGATGCTGTTCTTGGAAGAGGTGGGCACAGACTACCACACATGCAGCTAGCACATGTCAAGACTGCTTCAGCACAAGGGGATACTGCACTGGAGACAAATGATTAAGCAACATGTTACCACAGAACTATCATGACGTGAACATTCTGCATTTATAGGGGCCTTATCTAGGTCTTTCAGAAAGGATGAGAGGAGGGAGTGACTTGTACTATCAGCCTTTTTTGACAGCATATAACCATAGTACTAGAAGTGTCATGCAGATGATCCGTGGCTGATCAGATTTCATTCCATCTCCAGAATTCAACACTGCTCGGACATTTCTTTGGATCAGTTACTTACTTTTGCACACAATAAAACTCTGAATCATTAGGCTAATCCATCAATCTTTAGCTCAGAAGCAGAATCACTGTCAAATATGCAAAGCTCCAGTGCCAAAACTGTTAAAGTTTTAAACAGGCAACTTGGTGGTTCACCAACATTCCAGTAGTTAAACCAGCAGAAAGAGCCAAACACCTGATTCCATTACAGAGATCAAGTCATTTTGGTTTCTTCCCCAATTTTTGCCTCACACCAACATGACAAACATGTTAGTGACCAAAGGCATCTAATTACTAATATGAAAAGCATTTTTTCTCCAAACCTTACATTCAATTTCCAGGCCACAAGGCATTTCTCCTATGAAGTAATGGTCCAAGCAGATCTTCAGAAAGCAAAAGAAGAGAGATTATTCCCTAAAGAGTTTTAACCTTCACGCCCTTGACAATCCAGAGCTCCTAACACTGAATGTTAATGCGTTTAACATTCCACCTTCAAAAATCCCACCTGCCAGCAGTAAGGTCAGTCACGTCAGAAATCCAACAGTTTATCAAGCAGTTCACTCCAAAAACAGAGA